GGTTATATCTTAGAGAACTAGAATAATATTAATAATATCAGGACATTGACATTGGCTCAATGTGTGTGTATAATTCTACACTATTTACAGAATTATTGCATCACCACAAAGATCCCCCTTGAACTACCTCTTTATATTTATATTCACCCCCTACCCCAGCCCACCACGCCCACCACGAGTAACTACTAATCTCTTCTCCATTTCTATCATTTTGTCACTTTGACAAAGTTTTACAAAATGGAGTCATATGGTATGTGATCTTTTGAAAATGGCTTTTGTCACTAGCATATTGCCCTTGAGATGGTAGTACTTTTTAAATTTCAGATTTCCAATTTTTCATTGCTAGTATACAGAAATACAATTGACTTTTATACATTGATCATGTATGTTGTAACCTTATGAAATTCTTTTATAAGTCATAGCAGGTTTTCTATAAATTCTTTGGCATTTACCAAATAAATAATCCTGTCTGAAAATAAACACATTTTGTTTCTGCTTTTCCAAACTGAGTGCCATTTATTTATTTTTCTTGCCTTATTGCACTAGTTAGACCTCCAATATATTGCTGAATAGGACTGATGAGAGTAGATATCCTGCTGGATTCCTAATCTTAAGGGAAAATCATTCAGTGTTTCAGTATTAAATATCATTTGTAGATTTTTTTACATGGTTTTTCTTACTTTGACAGCTCTCATTTCAAAGGTCAGAAAACTAATGTGAGGGTCCTACAAACTGTGTACACTTGAGAGCCACAGAAATGACTGCCAGGTGGGTCCATAAGCCCAATGAATCATTGTGAGATAAACATGAACTAGGGATCCTTTTATTCCCTGGCTCCTGTAGCTTCTATTTTAACTGGGGTTATAGTGATACTTTTTGTTCCCAGGTATCATAGACAGCTCAGATCCAACAAGTCTCTAGAGATCCTAGTGCACAATTACTAAAGTAAATTATTCAAGTTTCCTTTGGGAAAGAATTGGAGAAGTACTACCATATATACTTGCTCTGGTGTTACATGGTCCTTCCTCATAGGGATCTGTACTTACTTTAAGTCTGAGAACGGGGGAGAAAATAGCCAAGTTAAAAAAACATAATTGGGCAAAAGATCATGATTTTTTATTGGAATAGCTTATCTCAATCTTTGGATCACTCATTCTTGAACTTTTTTGATTATGTATCATGCAATACCTATGTTGACAGACCCTTACCCTAAGGAACACCATATTCTATTGACCCTCTTCAGAGATTCCTACAGGTAGGATGTTCTCTCCTTTGGCTTCCTCCCAGCCTTGCTGCCTTACATGCCTCATCCTTAAGGAGGCACTCATTTTGAGGGTCAGTATTTGCACAAGCCTGAAAATAAGTGCCTACTTTGATTTTGCATCCTAGGCACATTCTTGCATCACCTAGTCTTGGCCCTCCAGTACTTTTCACCCAATCTGCTTCTGAAGATTAAGTGCTGTTACTTAGCCCTGCTATCCTGGGATTCTATAATCCCCACTGTTATTAGGCAGCCACATTTGATAATAGCATCTACTACCAAAAATGGAGCCTATAGATAGTTGGCCAGAATGAAGTTTCTTTATAATATTGGTCCCTGTCACTGGGGCATTCCTTATTGTCCTGGTAAATGGTACATCCTAAGGGCTCTCATGAAGAAAATAGCTGGTAGGTCTTCTGGTTTTATAAAATAGATCATTCTTTTTTTAATTATTATTTGAGAGAGAGAGAGAGAGTATGAGCAGGGGAAAGAGCAGAGGGAGAAGCAGAAGCAGACTCCCTGCTGAGCAGGGAGGCTGACGCAGGGTTGGATCTCAGGACCCTGGGATTATGATCTGAGCCAAAGGCAGACACTTAACCAACTGAGCCACCCTGGTGCCCCTAAAATAGATCATTCTAACATGTCTACTTCTCTGAATCTTTAATCATTTCCTGCTTAGTCTGCCATAGCAGTTCTGGCGTCTTTATATCATTTTTTGACCATCATTTTTCCTAAGCTTCCAAAAGCATCCCAGAAGCACACAAGAGCTGACTCCCAGGGCACTTGCATTGCGATCTTGTGTTATGGAACAGTGTCTCCCTTGTCTAGCTTTATGATCCCCTCCTAAGCATACTCTCCCAACTCCTAATACATGCTAACTAGGTCTCACAGATCCTACATGTGATTCCTCTCCTCTCTTAGTAGGCTCAGCCTACCCTTAGTCAGTTCATACTGAGATTTGATTTCAGTAAGTGGTCTGATGCCTGGAGGTGAATGGGGGCAGATCTTGAGGAGAGCAGTTATGAACTTATAAGATACCTGATGTATTTGATTGCTCTGCATGGTCTTCAAGCAGCAGGGGCACTATCTTATAACAAGGGAAACTGGGCCAATTATAAGCTCTTTGGGTTTAGGGAAATCTGGAGTTCAAGGTTCTGTAGTGCATCTACCTGGATATCCTAATGCCAAGTCTAAGGGCACCACTCCTTCCATAAAGGTAAACTTTTAGTAGAGACTTGCCAAGGCTAAGAATTTATTTTTTACTGAAATTTTACTATTGCTTTATAATTATATTCTGACCCTGGTCCTTAGTATAATTAGTCTCCAAGCTAGCTGATATAAGAATTTCTTTAAATACTAACAGGGGCAGGGAGGGGCTCCTGGATTTCACACTTGGATTTGAATTGTGATTGATTGCTTTGAACTTTCATTTTCAGCTAAGGGGTTGCTGAGCTTCATCAACAGTACTTAGCCACCCAATTTCACAATCCCTTTTCACAATCCTATTTCCACTGCACCTCTCAAATGTTAGAGATGTTTCACTAGCCAATGCATCTTTCTCCATCTATGCTTCATGACAGTTTACCAGGTGAAAATGTTCATAGTTGCAACGCTACAGTAAGCCAGGGCTATTGATACTTCACCTTTCACCAGTGATGGAGTCTTGGTTGTCAGTTGACTGGTGGGTGATCCAATTCTAGAATCTCATTCTTAGAGTTTGCTTCCTAGATCCACTTGTGGTATAAACTGTCTTCAGTCTGTGTCTCTAGAAGGGATTCAGATGCATATGAATTTTTGATGGAACTATAAGGGAATGAAACAACAAGAGGGAAAGGAACTGAGCAAAAATGTACTCTCAGGTTAAGTGTAACCTTCACCTGACCCACAGTGGGCTCTAGAGCATCAATTGTACCACAGAGTTGTCCAGACTTGAGGCAAGGAATCAGAGCTTTTGTATCCCAGGATCAGTCAGGCATTGGTTGCTCCTGAGGGAACAGGGTATAACTTCCTATATCAGGAATGAAGCGCCTCCTGTCACCACAGTACATGCTGTGGTGGTCATGGGTCTAAGCCATTAACTGCAGTGCCAGCAGCATCTGGAGGGTGGGTGTACCTTTGGGTAAAAGCCAATGATGTTGATTTACTCCCAAATGGCTGATTCAGTGTCCTGACAGAAAATCATTATTGGCCAAAAAATACAACTTTTGGTTTAAAGAATAAGCTTGGATTTTAAGTATCAGTCTTGGGTTCAGAATTTGGCTAAGCCGCTAATTATCTGAAGAGTTTAGGGGGCAGTTTACTTAATTTATCTGAACCTGTTTCCTCATCTATGCAACAAGGCAGGCAAGAGCCATGTCACAGGAGTTTTTGAGGTCTCATTATAATAATTTATGCAAAGTTCTGGTACACAACATGCTTAAAGATTAAAGGCAGGTTAACAAAACATGATGATTGATCATTTAAATTACTTTTCTTTATTTTGGTTCCTCTTTTTAAAGGAAGCAGCTATTTAGTGAATTTACTTGCTTTCTTTTGTCTATTATATTTCTGATAGATAAGCATTTTGGCTATTACTGGTATGTTGCAATCATTCCAGTTCAGCTGAGTAGTGAAGATCACTTTAAGACAATTTCAGAGTTTGCTCTTTTGTTTAGACAACCATCTTTGTCTCTTCAAGGAACAGATATTCACAGTTGGTAGGCAAGATATAGAATCCAGGTTGGTAGTTTCATCTGTCCCATTTAAAGAGACTAAATTTAGGAAGTGATCTGGATGAATAACCAGGCAATCCCGGATGGTTTTATGGGAAACTTAGTCTTGGGGTTAACAATCTAAGAAGAATAACAAATGTGCCTTCTATCCAGTTGTGTTTAGTGCTTAGAAGCAAAATGCTAGGTTCTCCAGGATCCAGCATCATTCAGATATTCTGAAAGTCATAAGAAATCTTCCTTTCTCCTTAATTAATCATCTTCAACTATTTAACTTTCAGTGCATGCTTTTTCTGTGTTGCAAACACAGACTAGAATAACTTCCACATTAGAATCATCAATTTCACAGAGTGAATCATTTGATGTTTTATGTACATTAGAAAACCCAGGAATTAGGGAAAAGAGGTTCCCACTGAGGTACTGTAATCATAATTGTAATTGTAATTATAATTGTAATTGTAATTGTATGGACTGGATTCTTGAGTATTTTCACAATTAGAGACTCATTCTACTTTGTTCTGCCTAGACTATGTGCTATCTAGAAAGAAATTTAATTTTCAAGATTTAAAAAAAATCCATTCTTCTATGGGCAAGTTATACCTACTTCTCATCACAGAAACCACTTCTCAAACAGGCACCACTTCTCAGACATTCTATTTTCTCTCATGCTATGACTTCTAATTCCTGTAGAACCCATCACATATACTGTGCATCATGAGCTGCCGTCCCTTGTGCCTTTTTTCTCTTGTTTATTCACAGAGGAATCATGGATATATCCAGAAAGGAACCCATCATGTGCCCCATCTGAACAGCAAGGGAGTCTAGGATTACAACAATAACCACAAACAGAATCCCAGAGGCCTCACCCATCCATCTCCAGACTCTTCTCTTCAAGAAGGGGGCCTTATCAGCTGACCTCTGTCAGAGCTGTGCTCAGCACCTGGTCTTCTGGTCACTCCCCCTGTCCCTCCCCTTTAGTGACACATAGCTGAGACTTTGCCAAGGCTGGTTATGTTGGCTTAGGCACCATTTCAGTTGTTACTTAGAATTCTTTTCTTCATACTGATTCAAGTGTCTGAGAACACTGAGCCTCAGTATGGCACCTCTGAGACTCTGTGCCATGGCCCCCAAGTCGCAGAGCACTTTCCCAGCACTGTACCTCTTTGGGGTCTTGACCCTACTGCTGTGCCCTTCTGGCTTGTGTGGTGAGTACAGTAGTTATGGGGAAAGGAGGGTAGTTTCTCTAAGATATGGAGGACAAGCACTCAATTAAGAATTAACTGAATATAGTCAAATAGTGGTAATTCATAACCTTTTTGAGAGAGTATAATGAACTATGTATTAATAAAAATGAAGAATTTTAAAATGTAAAGGAAATTATTTTAATGCAGGTAGAAGCTGTTTTTATGTCTAGAATAGAAAAGTGTTGATATGCAAAATTCCTAGTGAGGCTGCTTTAGCAAAGAATAATCTTGAATTTTCAAATTAGTTTCTTATATTTCAATGCTCCAAGATGCTTAGAACAAATTTACTTTCCAAATAGGTTAACTATGCCATCCACAATCTTAGTTACTGATTGATTAGAAATAATTTCCATCCAAAAAGCAAAACTACTTTCTGTTGTCGGATGGAGCTAGAGAGGATAATGCTAAGTGAAATAAGTCAGTGAGAGAAAGACAAACGCCATATGATTTCACTTACCTGTGGAATTTAAGAAACAGAACAATGAAAGAAAGAAAAAAAGGGACAAACCAAGAAAGAGACTCTTCACTTTAGAGAACAAACTGATGGTTATAGGACGGTAGGTGGGCCGGGGGATGGATGAAATAAGTGATGGGGATTAAGGAGTGGATTTGTGGTGATGAGCACTGGGTGTAGTATGGAAGTACTGAATCACCGTGTTGCACACTTGAAACTAATATTGCAGTGTATGTTAACTACACTGGGATTAAAAACTAATGATAAATAAAAATTTTAAAATATATTTTCTGTTATTATCAAATACTGAGTAAGTTTTCTGAGGTAAAATTATAGGGTACTTTGTGAACTGTAAACCATTATATAAATGTAAGACACTGTTACCAAGATATGTGTTGGCACTCATCCCCCAAGCATATGGCCCATTGATACACATCATCAAAGGGTCTCATGACTAAGGTTTTATTAGATGGTAATAAATGACATTTTCCCAACAATAGTTAGCCCCCTCAAGGTCCTGGAAATCTTGCTTCCATATTCCTTAGAGACTTACACTATCCCTAACCCCCTCCCAACTTGAAAGTATATAATGGGCCAGTCCTCATGACCCCAGTGCAGCTCTTCCTGCCTGTCCCCATGCTTTCATAAAATCACCTTTTTGCACCAAAGATGTCTCAAGAATTCTTTCTTGGCCATTGGCTTTGAACCCTAATATCTTTCCTACATCATGGCCACATCTTATCTTTGTAAGTAAATAGCAAGTGTGCCTCCTTGATATTACCTGAGAAGTGTTGGTACAGGACTCTGTATGTGTGTTTGGTCATAAAAATTAAGAGCTATTTTTTTATATTTCTATGGAGGGGTCTTATCTGCAGTTTAAGAAATGCTATATGGAAACTGTTGACTCATGCACAGGTGAATTCTTTTTCCTCGTTACTAAAAGAGCAACTCCTTCAGAGTTGAAGCTTTGAAGGAGCAGAGGTAAGGGAAACAGTGCTTGACCTGAGCTGATTCTTTGCATCAAGAGTGTTTCAAGCTTGCTTTCTCTCTTGTGTTTTGTTGTTGTTGTTGCTGTTTTTTGATGGGTCCTTCATCATCACTGAGGATCTGCTAACTGCAATTCCCTGGTCTGCTTGATCCCGGGATCCATTTCCGATTCTGGTTGATCACTTCCTCTTTCTTATCTCCTAAAGACCTAGTGACTCCTGGGCATTTATTTTTACTGAGGCTTTCTTCCCACCTCAGGAGGTCCTTTTGCACAGGCCTGAAGACAATGTCACTAGGCCTGTCTTTTTCATGCAGCCCATTTCCAATTCACTGGAAGTACTCACTCATCCTTTGTTCCAAATAATGTCAGGAGTATGGGCCAATCTCAAAGCAGCAGAAATCTGTCCTTCGCCCTCACCAGCAGAGTCACTAGACAGCCCACCTTTGCATTTTAGATTTCCCAGGCAGGAGCTTGATACTAGGTCACTGTTTCTAATGTCTCTCCAAATTGCAAAGAGATATAGTAGCTTTTCTCAGTGGGCTCCTTAGAGCCCCTCTGTCAGTGTGAAGGAGAAATGCACCTACACATTTGCCTCACCTGGGACTAATTTGAATTTAAAAATTAAATTCCTAGTCTTTTAATGCCTTTGATTTGGGTGAAGGTGTTAAGAATTTTCTAACAGATTCTGAGCTACCTACTTTATCTATTATGGGATGTTACTTGACTGTGCTAGAGTATTGTTCTTCAACCAAAACTTCCATTTTATGGCTTTATAAAGTAAGCATCCAATGATCATTACAGAAAGCAGAAAATAGCAGGATTCCAGAAAGTACCAGTGGACTTTGATACAAACCTGAGCTTAATACCTAAGTTTGATTCATGTTACTGGCACTTAATAGTTGTGACCTTCTGTGGAATACCTGACCCCTCTAAGGTTGAGATTCCTTTTCTCCAGAATGGGAATGATGATCATAGTGCCTCAGAGAGTTAGTGTGAGGATTAATTGGTTTAACATATATAAAATGATTAACACAGTGTCTAGCCAGTAGCTAAGATCTCAGTAGATCATTCCTATTGATTTTGTCAAGGAAATGAAATATCCCTCTGCAGTATAATTTAATGACTTCATTCTATAAAATAAGAAGAATCCCTCACTCTGAATTGTTAATTAAACTCTAGCTCATTGTCTTCCACCCTTCTCTTTTACCATTCAAGACTGCAGAATATTTCCGAGCATTGCCCATGGATCCCATAAAGACATGAGTTCATTTTTTTCCTATACTACTGTGGTGCAATATGAATGTGATGAAGGATATGTTCTGGTTGGAGAGTCTAAAATCACCTGCAGGAACTCTCACTGGTCGTCTCCAGCCCCTGAATGTAAAGGTAACTTCAACCTCACTGATTATCCTGTTTTAAAAAGTAGAGTCTCTGTGAGTGTTCTGACCATAGAGTCTCTTCCCAGCTAGGGTAAACACTTACAATTTTTTAATTGTACTTATTTATTCATTTTGTGTAGTTAACACATGCATATGGTATAATATTTTTAAAGTCTGAACCATCACTCAGCTTATCGGTCTTGGAAGTAACCATTATTACCAAAGTGTATGTTTTCAGACGTAATTTAGAGGACCACTTTTTGCTTTGTTTTCATAAAAGTTTTAATCAAAATGTAACATACTACAGAATCTGTACAAATCTTGAAGGTCAACAATTATCACAACGTGAACCTACCCTAGAAGCATCGCATGTCTTTCCTCAGTTACTCCTGACTCTCCTCCCCAAGGAAGGTCACTCTACCAACACCATGTGGAGGAGTGCTGACAATACTGACTCCATATTTGGCCCTCCATCTTGTTCCTGTTCGCTTGATGACCTCTCATGGGGTTATGTGTTCCAGGCCCATTGGAGATTAACATACATACCTCAGAAATGTCCACCAAGACCCGTGTAGGGGGAGGCTCGCTTTGGCCTCCCGTGAATCTTAGAGATAAAATAGTCCTTCCTCTTGCTGACCTATAGATGACTCCACAAGATCTAATTAAGGGTTAACTGTCAATTAGGTGCACATGAACCCTTGGATCTCCCCACAATGTCCCTTACTACAATGTCCCCTAGCTCTAAAGAATCTGTGGACTGATTTTAGAGAATAGCTGTACAGGGCCTGGATCATTGTTGGCTTTATTTACCCCCCACCCCCAATAGTAAGTTACCCTGAATAAAACTCTCTGTAAACTTATGGTGTGGCCGGCTTTGTTTTTTGGTCTCAAAGTGCCTTTTCAGCTTGGGGCATACTTTATTGTCCCTCTTCCACCTTCTAACACCATGGATTAGTTTTGCCAAATTTTTAACTTTATATAATTGAAATCAGGCCTGCACTCTTTTGTGCCTGGCTTCTTTCTTCATTAGGTTTGGCAAATCATCTATGTTCTTACACATCGTGATAGTTTATTCATTTTCTTTTTTTTTAAATTTTTTATTGTTATGTTAATCACCATACATTACATCATTAGTTTTTGACGTAGTGTTCCATGATTCATTGTGCATAACACCCAGTGCTCCATGCAGAACGTGCCCTCCCCCAATACCCATCACCAGGCTAACCCATCTTCCCACCCCCCTCCCCTCTAGAACCCTCAGTTTGTTTTTCAGAGTCCATCGTCTCTCATGGTTCATCTCCCCCTCTGATTTCCCCCCCTTCATTCTTCCCCTCCTGCTATCTTCTTTTTTTTTTTCTTAACATATATTGCATTATTTGTTTCAGAGGTACAGATCTGTGATTTAACAGTCTTGCACAATTCACAGCGCTCACCATAGCGCATACCCTCCCCAGTGTCTATCACCCAGCCACCCCATCCCTCCCACCCCACCCCCCACTCCAGCAACCCTCAGTTTGTTTCCTGAGAAGTTTATTCATTTTCATTGCTTTATAATATTCCTCTGGATGAATAGACCACATTTTACGTATTTTCTAAAAGTTGGAGATTTTCATGTTTTAGGCTATTATGAACACTTTTGTGCATGTCTCTTGGTACTAATGTGCAAACATTTCTGTTAGGAATAAGCTCAGGAGTAGAATTGCTGTTTTGTAGAGCATACACATACTCATCTTTAGTAGATGATGCCAAATTTTGTTCAAAGGTGGTCATGGCGATTTATATTTCTACCAGTAGGATATGAGTGTTCTAGTTTTGAAAAACATAAGTTCTAAATTCCAATTTATTTCAAATTATCAATATTTTCCTTGATGTTGGGACCTTTTGCGTCTTGTTTAAGAAATATTTGCCTACCACAAGGCAATATTCTATACAACAAAATACAACAAAAATGTTCTCCTATGTTATCATACAGAGAGTTTCATTGTTTTACCTTTCACAATGATATCGCCAACCCACTTGAAATCCCTGGGTTTATGATAGAAAGTGGGGGTCGAAGTTTGGTTTTCCCCAGGGGATAATCAATTAATTGTGTACCACTTATTAAACGGGCTGTAGTTCCCACTGTTACCTTTGGCATAATTCAAGTGCCCGTGTATGTATGGTTCTGTTTCTGCACAGAGATAGCAATTTTTAATTTGAGACAATTGGTGTGGATTTAGCAACATTTTAGTAAGCACCTGCTTCATTTTAAATGACAATTCTTATGGATAAATTCCAAACCTCCTTGAGGTATCTGATATCGCCATTAGAGCCTCATACATGCCATTCATCTTCTCATGATGAAGTTGGCCTAATAAGAGACTTCTGGTTGACCACCAAGATTAGGTGTGTCTTTTTAAAATCACACTGCTAATAGCAACTCAAGGGGCTAATTTCCCACCATTGTCTTCATTTAACACAGGAAGATGTTAAGGGTATGTGAATAAAAATTACATACTTAGGATCATGAAAAGAGTGAGGTTTTGAGATATAGCAGTTTTAAAAACTCAGATTCTAGGATCACAATCCTTAGGTTTATATCATAATCATGTCACCTAAAAGCTATGCATCCTTAGACAAGTCACATAAACGATCTGTACCTAATTTTTCTCTCTAGCCAAATGGAGATAATTATAGTGTTTTGGGGATGCCTGGGTGGCTCAGTCGGTTAAGCATCCGCTCTTGGTTTCAGCTCAGGTCGTGATCTCGGGGTCATGAGATCAAGCCCTGCATCAGGGTCCATGATCAGGGCAGAGTCTGCTTGAGATTCTCTCTCCCTAGCCCCCTGACCTTTCCCCTGCTTGTGCTCCCTCTCTCTTTCTCTAAAATAAATAAATAAATAATAAAATCTTTAGAAAACTCATAGTGTTTTATGTAGAGAATAGTATGTAACATAACATTACTATTATTAATTTTTGTTGTTATAATCATACAATCAATGGAGGTAGAGAACAACTCTGAGCATGCAGGTATAATTTATTACCAGTGTTTCTCATCCCCTCAGGATTCTTCACTTTTGTAAGATTTTATTCTGAGAATCACAGGATGATCAAAATTGTGTTTCCATTACAGCTCTCTGTCTGAAACCAGAGATTGAAAATGGAGGTCTGTCTGTGGGTAAGGACCAGTATGTTGAGCCCGAAAACGTTACTGTTCAGTGTGATGATGGCTATGGTGTGATTGGCTCTCAAAGCATCACCTGCTCAGAGAGCGGAATCTGATTCCCAGTGGTGCCCAAGTGTAAGTGGATAAGTGGCACACATTTCAGGATGTCCTGGCATGTTCTAAAAATTGTAGCCAGTATCAGAGCACTCTCAACCAACACTGATGAAATCTGACTTGTATCAGGACTCACGAGTTGTTTGAATCACTTTGGAAATCAGCCTCAAAGCACTTGGTGAACTCGTTAAAGCCAAGTTCTAATTCTCTCATTTTAGAGCAAGAAGAACCAAGCCCCTAGATAGGAGGGTCCCGTAGATCCAGGTGACCTGGCCCCTAGCCCTGTATTTTCTACAATACACGCTATGCTTTTGCATAGCTGTCGGAACTATTCCTTCAGTTGTCCGTGAAGAAGCCCCCTAGGTGTCTTCTGCAACCTCCTTCTTTCCCTGCTTCAACAGTTATTCACAGCATATGGGGGAGTGCTGGCGTAGTGCCGGGTACTCTGCTGCGACAGAGTATCTTTTGATTCCCTCCACCAGTCCTGAGGATGGGCTTGATACTCTAGTTTTCCTGTCATCAGTGAGGCATCCTGAAGACGTCCTATACATTCACAGTTGGAGAGAAGGCTCTACATCTAGCCTTTTATCTCTTCTAGGAATTCCAGATGGGCTGTGAGCAAGTGCTAGTGGGCAGTAAACTCTTACAGTGTCTCCCCTACCCAGAGGACGTGAAAAAGGCCCTGGAGGTGTATGAGCTGTCTCTGGAGATTGGACACCTGAGCAAGAGTGAGACTTGAAAAGGAACGCCATTTAGAAACCAGCACATCCCCCACCACCACACACACCCCCGCCTCCTCCCCACAAAAGTAAAGAATGAGGTATATTTCTCTCATTAGCAAGTCTACTAATCATTGGTTAAATACAGTTCACTAAAAAAAAACATACCCGTGTTAGGAGAATCTGTTGATACCCTTAGTGCCATCGATAATGCGGCGCTCTTGATTTATCTTTGCTCAGCCTATGCTTCTGCTGTCCTGGACATGGCAGAATGACAGAAATAAATAATGACCCATCAAAAATCTGGTGTCTTTGTTTTCACTTTGATGCCTACATAATGAAAAATTAGACCCTATGCCAATCATTTCCTAATGTTTCTCTAATTAACTTCCTTTTCTGTTTTACTGTATCACGAGGTATATGTAGTCCTGGCAAATGTATACTTGTGCCTTAGCTGAGGTGTCTTTACCCTACATCTTCACTTCCTACCCATCCTTCACTGCCTGGGCCCAACATCACATCTTCCTCAAGCCTTCTGTTTTCTCTCTCTATTTGATCACGAGTATTTCTCTGGAACAACTTCTTACTTCTTTACATTTGGTTTTGCTCGACATCCCTTCCACCCAATATTAACCACCTCAAAAGTCTTTGAAAGCCTAATCTTTGTGTCACCCAACCCTTGAATATGGCCAAGGCTTCAACTCTTTTCTTAATATTTCAATTAAAATGGTTTTAATGTCTCTCTTAGACCAGATTCTCCAGAAACAGATTCCGAGAAAAGGATTTGTGTGCAAGTAATTTATTAAGGACATGCTCTAAGGAGAAACAGGAAAAGGAGTAGGGTGAGCAGGACAGGACAGGGAAGGAGACGGGCCAAGTCCTACAGAAAGTGGCTTAGCCTTGTCCCAAAAAGGGAACTCTGGACTGTGAATTTGCTTACTTTTTGTCCCAATTCCAGGTAAAGGAACTGAGCTTTCATTCTGCAGTACCAGTCAGTCATTGGTGAAGAGCCACCCTGGGGGCGCACAAGCTCTTAGGGCGTCCAGCTCTCTCTGGGGGGCAAAACTGTCTAGCAGCCTGAGGGGCATCCCGTCAACAGAAGAGAAGGTAGGACCATGAGAAACCAGAACACCCAGAAGCTTGCAGAGAAGTGCACAGAAATGGTAGAAGGGACTAAGGGGGCTGGGTGGAGCTCCTCAGTGCTTGTCCCTCATGTGTCCCTCTTATGGTTCTGGATACTCTTGGGAAACTTATATTTCCGGCAGTCATTTCTTCCAATCTTTCGCCTCCTCTGAAGTCTCATTTCCGCTCATGCTAACTTCCCTTGGCCTCTGCTTCTCCACTACATCTTGATCTGTATTAGAGAACATGGCCTCTTTTCTTTGATTTCTTTAAAAACAGCCATCACATGAGAAAGTTTTATAGCAGACTTAGACTAAAGCTTTGGAGTTAACAGAAGGGTAATATGGCTGGATACACAAGACAAGACTTCCACAGTGAATGTTCCAGAACCGTGATCTTAAAAGACCATTGCCTTTCCCTGCCATCAGGAATATCTTCCAGCTGACTTTCTCTGCATGACCTTGTCAGTCTCTAGGCTTTTCTGGTCTGCCACTTTCCCTTCTCAAATCTCTCCTTGTCAGACTTCATCTCTTCTTGCTCCCACTGCCTCAGAAACTCATTTCCCTTCACTTTATTAGGGAAAGCGTTTTAGCTCACCATCTTTCCCTAGTCTCAGGAATTTTACATCCAAAAATTCATGAATGTACTCAAATAAACCAAGCGCCATCCATTCCAGATCTGGACACCAAGCTATAGAGAAGATTCAGGAGAATCTCTGAAATACGAGTCTTTCCATATTTCCTTCCCTGCAGTCTCTGGAGGGCAGTGTGGAGACATTTTCACACTGATGTGAATTACGCCATAATCTTTGTATTTGTTAATTCCAAGTTAATTACACATAATTATAATTATAGAAGTGATATATGTGTATATATGAACAAGAATTCAAGCTTTACAAAGGTATATATAAAAAATGAAAATGAAATTCTTCTCTCCTTCTGCCTAAGTCCTGTTGTTCTGCATTTTTCTACTGGTTAGCTTAATCATTCTGAAAAGGAAGCACACACTTTATCATTTGACTTTTCTCTCTAAAGAATATATTTTGATTTCCTGCTACAAAATGATCAATCTAGCTCTGACTTTTTCCCTCTCCTCTCTCTCTCCAAGGGTCAGTCTCATGTAATTTTATTTTCTCTTATTGATGACTTATCTTTATGGCTTTAAATAACTTACTTAAATCTCTATTATTTATTCAACTCTAATTTTTAGTAACTTATTATTTTACTAAAGTAATACAAGCAAATAATTAAAAAAGTCAAATAATCCAAAAAGACTTGTAATGAAAACTCTAGTAGTTTGACACACTCAATCCATCCCTTGGTCTTATGCCTCCAAAATAACCACTTTCAACTCCTTTAGCTCTTTCTTAGGGTATTTATCTACAGATTTCCAAATGATAGTCTCATCCTACTTAGGTTTATTTATTATTTTTCAACATTATGTATCAACTTACTATCCGGAAAGAATAGAGTTTAGGTCCTTTATAGTACCATCTTTCCTCAGTGTAGTTTTATCCTACTCCTTGATTAAATTAAGATTCAGTGTTTACCTTATTATGACTGAGCAAATTGTAATCATTGCTAACACACAGTAAACCAAGTAATGACTTAGAATCTATTTCCTTACAGGCAAATTCTTTAATTTTTATGACTTGAATATTTTATTTTGCTTTTTGTTGTGGTTTTCTGCTTCTGTTGCTCCTTCTTGCTACATGCTCCAAGAGATCTTTTATAGTCTAGCAATATATTTCTGAGTATGCTGAGACATGTCAGATTCGATTTCCAGTTCCACCCTGCTTCGTGCCACCCCTCCTGGAGATTTCACCAGTCAGTGGTTCTGAAATGAATTGCTTACTTTTGAATCTTAGGTCTTCCTTTGCTGTGCTCTTCATTACTTTGATTCCAAGTCTTCATGTATTTTGGTTTATTTCCTCATTTTTTTTTAGTGCTTAAGAAAAGGTGCCTGGGAAGTTGTCTCTTTACATGTGTTAAAAAAAAAAAATATATATATATATATTTAACCCTCACAGTTAATTGATAGATTACTTGTATGTAGAAGTCCAGGTTCTCTCAGAATTTTGAAGGCATTTCTCCATTGTCCCTTGCCTTCTGGTGCTGCTATGAAAGAGTCCATGATATTCCAATCCTTGATACAGTGATGCCCCCCTCAGTGATTTTAGTATCTTCTCTTTATCTCTGTGGCTTTGCTCTAGGGTGCTTTTTATACATTCACATGGGTACCTTCTGGGAATTTTTGATCTGGAAACACATGTGCTTTAGAATTTAGAAATTTTGTCCATTATTTTCTGGTTTTATTTTGTCTTGTCTTCTTTGTTTCCCTCCTCCCACCTCCTGCCCCTGGAACTTGCTTCAGTAAAATATTGTTTCAACCTTTTCTACCTTACTTACCGTGTCTTTTTCTTTGTGTTCTACTTTCTGGGAGATTTTCTTGACTTTGTATTTTAAGATCTTTATTGAAGTTTAAAATCTATTTATTTCATTTTAATTTCCAATAGCCCGTAGCTGTATCTACATGTTCCTTTTAAGTGGTAAGCCTGTTCTTTCCTTGCGGATGCAATATAATTCTTTCTATCTCTGAAAATATTAAGTATAGGGTGGTTTTCTTTGATATTCTCTGCTTTCTGCTCATAAGAAAGAATGAGACCTTAACATATTGACTAATGTCTCTATGTGAATGAGCAAGGCTTTTCTAATGGTGAACTTCTCTGTAGCAAGATGGGCAGCAAGGTTTAACTATTTGTATGTTTGTTTTATTTTTTTATTTTTTATTTTTTTAAAGATTTTATTTATTTATTTGAGAGAGAGAGTGAGAGAGAGAAAGAGCACAAGAGGGGGGAGTGGGAGAGGGAGAAGCAGACTCCCTGCCGAGCAGGGAGCCCGATGTGGGACTCGATCCCGGGACTCCGGGATCATGACCTGAGCCGAAGGCAGTTGCTTAACCAACTGAGCCACCCAGGCGCCCTATGTTTATTTTATTTTTAAATGAGTCATGTCTTTTCTTTGAGGATGTTCCACGTCCCCTGAGATTTCTGTAATCCCCTCTGGATTGATCTGTCAAACTCATTCTTTTCTCTTGAGTTTCCTTTTTTTTTTTTTTAAGGTTTTATTTATTTATTTGAGAGAGAGAAAGTGTAAGCAGACAGGAGGGGTAGAGGGAGAGAGAGAGAAGCAGACTCCCCTCTGAGCAGGGAGCCCGATGTGGGACTCGATCCCAGGACCCTGGGATCATGACCTGACCCAAGGCAGATGCTTACCGACTGAGCCACCCAGGTGCCCTTGAGTTTCTACTACTACCATGTGAAATAAAGAAATGAGTTTCTTCTAAGTTTGTATCCAATTTCACTGCCCTTTTCGCCTGTCAACTTCTATCTACATACTATTATTTTTATACTGCACATTTATATAACTCTTTGATTCTATTGGACCTTTGACCATTACCCATTGAATCCAGAACTAACCTTTGCCACATAGTACACTTACTATTTCATTTGTGGGCTTTGTTCACAGTAAGTGTTCAATAATCATTTCATAAAGGGATGTTTGAAATACCATGGACTAAGACTTAGTACAAAAAATCAGTTTTAAAAATTCTCTGCTGAATGTAATTCCTTCTATTATACCACAAACCAAAAACAAGCGGTCTGTTTCCTTTCTGGGTTTAACGGGAAAGCCCAGAGCCATGAAAAGGACCAAGAATAGTCAAGATAATCTTGAAACAAAACAAAGCTGGAGGACTAATACTGGTAGATTTCAAGACTGGTTATAAAGCTAGATTAAGACAGTGTAGTGTTGGTACAAATAGAATCAAGCTGATTATGCAGTTGAATAAAAAAATTGAGAAGTAAATATATTAAGGCAAATATAAATTATATATAATATTTAATATAATATTAAATTGTGACAAATTTGACCCTTCAGTGTGGTGGGAAAGGATGCTTTTTTCAATACATACTTTCTAGGTCAGTTGGAAAGCTATATGGAAAAAATGTATATTGATCCTTACCTTACCTCTGCCCAGAAGAAATCTAAAGAGGATTATAGATTTACATATGAAAGGTAACATATAGAAGAATATGTTCGTGATCTTAAAGTAGGCAAATACTTCTTATATACAGCAATATAAAAAGCATTATGAAAAAAAGTTATA